TCCTGGACACACACGTGCTGGAATACTTCCGCATTGCAAAGGAAGACGAAGGAGTCGACATGGAGAAGTGGGCGCCATTCCACAAAGCCCACGAAACGCCAACCTAAACTCCGCCAAGCCCTCACATGGCAACACAGTACAATAGCAGGAAGAAGCGTAAGCAGAAGGCACCCGGGGACACGTAGGAAGTAGGGGTTTTTAGATACCTCCCCTATTAGAGGCATCACGTTTGCCCTACTAGACACAATAACGTAGGGGAAGTGTTCATAGACCCGAAAGGGAACCAGATAGCACTATAAATTGAACTATTTATTTATTTATTTACATGTTCTCCTAGTCTATAACAAAAGTAGTATAATTATACAAATGTTACTACTATTTTTTACTACCTACCTAGGTAGGCGTGATAGATACATTGAAAGCTTTCCCCCCCTTAGGTTACATGCAGGTGGATATCTCGGAATCTTAGCCTGAATGATTCTGTCTCTTGTCCACTCAAACGTTGTTCCTTCCTTATCTAAAGCCTGAACCCCAAACATTTTCCGTCTGTTGTTGGGCTCACCCTTTTTTGGCTTTGGTTTTGAAATCAACGATCCACTAGAGCTACATGGATAGGGAATTGCGTGATGATGTTTCCAGAACTCACAGTACAGGGTCTCTTCCCATTGGGCCTGTAGGTAATCTAACTCGGTAGCAAAGAGATTCGAAATAGTATGCAACTGTTGTCGATACGGCCTTGTTACTATGTGAACTCGGTTGTAGGGACTATCGTTGCCCCAAATCCACTTAAACATTTCCCTAGGTGTTTTAGCACACGTAAGATTCTGGGCGACAAACACTAGGTCAGTAGAGAGTGCTGACTGGAAACCACTCCTCGAGAACTCAATTTCATCTGGCCGAATAAGGTGAGAAGCCTCTGCTCGGATCTCCTTCTCTAGGGCCTTGAGTACATCAGCCCGATATACCTTGCAGATGGTAAGTGCAAGCAGAATAAGAATCTCCTTTTCTGCTACACTACCCAGGGGTGCACTGATAAGAAGGTTCTTGAAGTCGCCCAGGGTTATAGGAGAGTCGAAGAGAACCCCATCACTGTCTGGGAACCACGAGAGGAGATACGCTTTCGAAATTCCAGCCAGCTTTTGTGAAATAGAGTCCAGGAATTGTAATCTATCCCAATCAACTCTATTACAGGCAAACCAAGCATATCCATACTGGGTAAGGGTATGTTGAAAACCAAGCCCATAACGTGTTTCCCCTTTGATATCTCTTTTATCTATCCAAAGTGCATAGTTGCGTTGCAATTCTGCGTTCTGGAAGGATTGTATAAGCTCAATAAGGACCCGCATAAACTGCATCTGCTGTACTGACCGCCCAGTAGCCTGCGTCGTAATTGCACACATCTCCAGGAGTGATAGATATTTATCATAGTTACCGTAGAGGTAGTTGATGAATTCTGTTGTACCAACTGACCATACTGAGGGAGGAACGCCTTGATGTTTTGGGACTAGGAGGTTGTCCCGTGCAGCTTTTGCCCTTCGTTTTATTGCAGACCAAAGCTTGCGTAAAATCCGCATTTCGAATCGCACGCTGTAGGAATTGGCGTGCGGACTCTTTAACGAATCTCGTAGCCTCTGCTTGCCAGAAGCGTACTTTGTGGTAACGTTGTCCCACTTCCTTGCATGTGTAGATCTAGCAGCAGAAGCAGCGTAAGAGTATGCAGCTGATCCTACTGCCAGTTCCTTCAAACTCTCGTCTTGCAAAGGATAAATTCCTTGTGCTTCAGTAAGTATCTTTGCCTGGCTGTACGCCTGAATGTAACAAAGCCCACCCTTAGCATCTGTTGATTTCTTTGGTGGCTCTACTGTAAGACAAACAGTGTCACCAAGGTTCCCAACATTATAGACACTATAATTGCCCTTACTGTTGTTAAACCCCTCCTTGATAAGCTTTGCGTGCAAATCCTCCACGCAACATTTCTTCCACAGATAAGTAACAGCAGGGTATCCGCTATTACTGACTGATGGCGATGGACAGCGTGACCCTATGAAGAGCCCAAGGTCTAATGCCATTTGAGAAACATATTCTTCGTCGAAGTACTCTGAAAGCTTCTCGTCAAACTTTTCCATAGCCTCGTAGAGGTCATGCGCTTGTGCCTCTGTCTTGATGTTTTTGACATCAAAAGATATAAAGGCATCGCGGAAATGTCCTAAGGATTTCTCTGGATCATTGATTGTCCTCTCGATTTCTGTCCAGAGTTGAGCGTTTTGCTCTGGAGGAACCGAGTAATGAGCCTTCTGCTTATATCCTATTCCTCTTGTCTGATTTTCCTTTGACTTTGCGCATGCACCCATCTCCGCAAGATGGTGAGATAGAGGGAGGTTTGCAAAGGCAGTTCCAGGAAGAACATTATGTAATGCTGGATAGAGCACTTCGTCGTAGAATTGAGCAAGCTGATCCTTCTCAAGATACGTTGTCTTCTTCTTTTCGTCCGTGTTGTGAATCATGTGGGGAAAGCACAAGTAGATGTTGCCAACCCATCCATCTGCCGTTCCAATATAAGTGTGAGGGATCTCATTAATAGTGAAATTCCGTTGCTGCACTGTACCGGTTGTATCAATCGTGCGAATTGGAATAGGGAGGTGGAGGCTAGATGCAAGGTTGCGTTGGACGTCGTGAATAGGACAAAGTCGGATAGGTTTCCGAAAAAGACCGGTACCTTTTGCAACAATGATGAGGCTATCCGTGTCAAAGTGCTCTTCTCCTATTGACTCGGGTGTTTCTGTTTGCTCCAGTTGCAGGCAAATCCGTGGTCTTTTCTCTTGACTACCACTTGTGCCTTCATAGAGCAACTGCAATTTGTCACTACTGGCGAAAGACGCCCGTGGTACTCCTGCCTCTCTAGGAAAACCGTCTATCGAAAGGCCAACGTTGGTTAGCAGCCTCCTAGGCCCCGAAGAGCCGAGAGAGAGTAGTTGCTCTTGTTCGCCGTCATGTGTCAGGTTTGGATACGTTGCCTGAAGGCGATGACAATTGGTGCCATGTGCCAGGTCATGTTCCATTATGTCATCTTGGCCGTTATGATGACCACAGCCATTCCAGAGCTCACGAAGGATCTTGTGCAGTCTTTCTGCACTCTGAGCAGTCAAAGGATCCTCAATCGCTTGCTCCTCGCGTTGTTGCCGATCACGTCGGCTTACATCCCGTCTTGCCTCGTCCTCGGGACTATCAAATAGATTTCGGGTCCAATCGTCTCGCCTTTGACGCTTAGGCTCGCTCGACCCGAGATTGTTGTGCCGAATCCTCGCGCGGGAATTGTGCTCATCAAGCGCATCAAGAACCTCTTGATTGCTGTCAAGAGACTCATTGGCATTGGAATCGTCGTTACAAGAAGCTGAACTGTCTTCATGGGCATTCTCCCAGCCCGCGTCTTCCCCACCACTGTCTAATGTGCAGTCTTGAATGCAGAGCTCATCCATCGGCACTGTGCTACGCCATATCGGATCGCCAGTTGATCGCTCATTTGTTTCTGCCCGTGACTGGTTGGTGGCAGAGGCATTGTCCAGTTCAGTTGGACGCTTCTCATCTGTTTCCATCTCTCGAGTACGCTTCCTGATGCTTGAACGTAGCTCCGGCTGATCAATCAGCTCCTTCTGCTTATGAGTTTCCGTTTTGTCAAAGGTGTCGTCCTCTTCCGAATCATCAGGAATAGCATACAAAGGAGACCATGGCAACGTAGGGTTTCGAGGATTGCTTGTCGTAGGGTGTACGGGGGAGCGGTGCTAGGCAGAGGT